GGTCTTTTATTCCCCTAGGATCCTAAGCTACAATAGGTTACGATGTATTCCAGTTCATGCATTTAATGGCCTTAAATCTCTCCGAGTATTGTAAGTATTACTCATTCACTGTTCTGGAGTTAAATTTTAAAAGGTGACAGCAAAATGTCTAAGGAGTAGGAGCTTTCCCCTGATTCTCTGCATTGCAGCCATTTCCAGTCATTTGCACTTTTTTATTTGTATCAAGATGTAAAGTACCCTATAAATATGAGTTCAGATGAAGGGTAACATTTTGTGAATGATTTGATGCCTTAAGATGATTTTTCCTGTTGGAATTCTTTTTTTTTTTAAAGGCCACTGTTAAAATATAGGCTAACCTATTTGACTTAAGACATATTTTTGAAGGAACACTTCTCGATTGCAACTTGCTCATTAATCACCTCGACATATTCTTGGATTTGGTGTATAATTTCATAATTTGAGCTAAAATTCTAATTGCGATTCTGTATGTTTTTAATCATATCCAAGGTTTCAGGAGAAGTTTGATCTCTTTCATTTCTTTTTATACTTTTCTCGTTTTTCAGTTTTTTTATAAAAGTTTTTTTGTCAAATAGTACACATTTTGTCAAATGTTTCCTTTGGAGAATATTGAATGTAATGATATTTAATAATTCTTTCCAGTGATTCATTCATACTTACTTTTTATACAAAATCTTAAGTATTACTTAGGATGAAGTCCATGTTTGTTTCATCATCATATCTCCTTGTTTAGTGTCAATCCTACCAGACAGATCAGACAGAAACACTAAACTAATTCTATTTTCATGTAAGGCTACATTAACAGAAACATGCATGTCTGAAACTATAATTCTCCCCGTCTCCTTTGCATCTCGAGAAATTGGGGAGGATATTTTCTGAACCTCTTCTCCCATTAACAATCTAGTTGCAGACTATTTTCTTTTATCAAAGTTTTCCCTAACCAGGTCTCTGGACCCAGTCTCCTAAGATCATTCTCATATACCATTACAATTAACCCTTTAAGCTGTGACATATGGTTTTTAGTAGCCTGTTATGACTGCAGTTGTGCAGGTGTAAGATAGCAAATGGAGAGAGAAAAGGGAGAAGTACCATTCTAGCGAAGTGCAGCTGTGGTGTCACAACAGTTGATGAGCTGACATAGCTGTTAGCCAGGGCTGATGTCGGGAAAGGTAGACAGCATTTTCATTGGTCCAAATTTGTACAAAGGTATTAGGGACTAGAGCTCTGATGAGACACCCATCTCCTCAGTTGCTGGGGAAATACTGCCAGTCTGATTAAAAATGAGATACAAACAGACAGACAGACAGACAGACAGACAGACAGAAGAGAGAAAACAAGTAGAGAAAACTAGGAGAGAAAAAGACTATAAAACAGAGTGATTGGAGATTAAAATTGGAGAATATTGTATTGTGAATGTGTTTAAGTTCCTGGTCAGAGAGGAAGAAGAAAAGTCTCTGGGTAGCTTTCCTAGAGGAAGAGAAGTAAAACTCCAGAGAGATAAAGGTCCAAGATGGGAAGGAAGGAGAAATTGTCTTTGGCAAAGCCAAGGTGCTTGGGGAAGGATTGGGCAGAAGACACCAAGATAGGTCCTTCCTCCAAAAGAGGAGAAGCAGACTGTAATCAGCTGAGCAAATTCAGGGAACGGTGATGAGAAGTGCTGAGCACACTGAATCGTAAATCCAACACTATTCTTTTTTTTCTTTTCTTTTTTTTTTACTCTCTTGGGATAAGCACAGAAATGGGGCAAGGAGTTGGAATGAAGGGAGAGGAGCAGGACAACTTGTCAAATTAATGGAACTATGAATTCTGAATTGTATCAGCAATTTCTACAGGAGTATGTTAGGTACATGTCTGTGAATTGTAGTGCCAGAAGAAATGGGTCATGTAGCAAGATAAGAACCCACAATATAGAAATCATACAACCAAAGAATGATTAAAGCAGAAAAAGTTAATGTTTTGGAATGATCAAATCAAAGTCCTGACCTATTGTGGAAGGACCTGAAGCTGGCAGTTCATATGAGAAAATCCACCAATATCCCTCAGTTGAAGCTGTTCTGTAAAGAGGAACGAATTAAAATTCCTCCAAGCCGATGTGTAAGATTGATCAGCAGTTATTAGAAATGTTGACTGGTAGTTATTCCTCTCCACCAATTGTAGTAATTGCTGTCCAACTAAATTGCAACCTTTATTTGCAGTTATTGCTTCATACCAGTTACTGAGAGCGGTAGGCTTACATATTTTTACTACACGCAAATATGGAGCTTTGGATCATTTTCCTTGAAATGAACAAGCATATTTTTGACTTTTTTAAATTGGTTTTTTTTTATCTATCTTTAGGACTTGTATAAGGAACAGATCATGTTTTAGCTCATACTTATGCAGAAATGTTGAAAATTCGCAAACTTTTAAACACTGTTGTATGCATGTTTAGACCTATATATACTGTATGGATAATATAAAAAAGAGTAGTTAAGTGGCAGCCAATTTGTTTGTAGCTGAACATAGTGCATAGTCTTCCAGTTTGAAATAGTACACAGATGTTAATTTCACAATAGATTTTACCCCATTATATAAGAACTTCAAGGAAGTATTGGTTTTCTTATTTTGTGACTGATCCATATGCATTTTTTTGTTTAAGTTGCAAGCAAACCAAGATTACTTTATTCTCAAAGGCAACAGTGTAATGCTGAAGATCAGTTTTATAAATCCATTTGCTATCTCTATTTATTTAGAAGATCTACTTAATCATATATTGAAATAGGTGTTTGCTCAGAGAAAAATAACATGCCACTCTTATATTTCTGTGCAAAAGCTAAACGAAGCATGAATGAGAGTCTCTCTTTCTGGGGTTGCATGTATTTGGAAGCCTCCAGTTTCATTTGATTTATTATGGTATACAAAATTCTAGTGTCAGCGACAACCCTTGCCACATGTCATCTACGTTGTTATTAAAAATCAATTCTCCTGGGTGAGGACGTGTTTCCAGGCGACAGCATGCAATCTGTTACTGTCATTTATTTATTATCAGAATTCCCAAGAGAACCTCAGTTAGAAATAATCAGCAAAAGTGTATCCAAGTTTTTGCACCTTTTTGTTTGAAAGGACACATAGCTTGAAACTGTCTGAATTTGATGTGCGGTTAACAGACCTCTTTTATGCATGAACCTCTTCTCTAATTGTTTTGTTTCCTGGGAAATTTTCCCTATTGCTATTAAATAGGAAAATTATCCTATCAATCAGAATATGTCTCTGGCTACCAAACATAATAATCGGTGTCATGACATATGCCTTGTTTCAGTAATTTGAAGTATTAATCTCTCTTAGCATATCTTTATATACCATGTTTTAAGGTGATTGTTCCAATCATAGATTTGGGTTTGTTTGTTTTTTCAACCATGCACCAAAATATATGAGAGTAACAAAGAACTACCAGAAAACACATGTAAAATATACATAATTATAAAAATGATGAAATGGCTTCTATGTCCCTATTAAACACAAACTCTGTGATTCAGTGTGTGAAAGTGTCTTGCAAATTAATTTTTGATTCCCTTTCCAGTAGTTCAAGTTCAGTTCCCAAAGTTCAGTTTTTCAAGGATTTCACTATTTATTTTAGAATTTCATAAAAATTACAAAGCATACTTGTAGTTCAACAATTAGAAAACGAATACAATATTAGTAAGAAAGGTACTAGTGTATTCCATTGTTTATATTCTAAACCCTCAGGAGCCATTTTTGTCAAATCCAGTCATTATACAGACACAATGCATACAAATTTTAAAAATTAATCTCCTCTAGAGAGCCAAAATCACATAAGCACATAGGAAAGGATATGGTCAAAAAGCAATGAGCTTTGTAATTTTTACTGTAATTTTTCTTAGGAGCATTTTCAGGTCCTAAAGCCAGGATTTGCACAAGCTATTGGTTAGGGCAAGTTCAATTCAGCATTATGATAATTGGCTGAATAGAAATTCTGGAAAACATAGTTTTAATATATATGGTAAACTCTGATCTATGTAGCACTGTATTTATTAAAAAGAGAAGTAGATATTGGCAAAATGGTGTCACTAACAATTTTCTCTATTACATTTGTTTCAGAAAAAAAAAAAGAAAAAATGAATATTTCCTATTTGTCTAGATCAAGAATTGAATAACTTTCCAGAATATTGTCACGATCATGATTCCTAAGACAACTGTTGTCCTGTTGTCTAATTATTCTAAATTGCTTATTCAGATTCCAATTGTGGTCATTTTTTTTCTTTGAAAAAGTCACTGGTACTCTTTATTAAGGAAGCCAGTTTGGTCTATTGATTAAGGTGCTAGGATAGAATCTGTGTGTCTGTACGTTCCAGTCCCACTTCAGGTATGAAACTAGGACAAGGCAATGGCAAACTATTTCCATTAACATTGACCCAAAGGCACGCACACACACAAAAATTCAAAAGCTACAAATAAATAAACAAACTATCCCTTTTTATTAAAGAAAGATATTAAAGAGTCTGTAATACTACCATTTCCTTTATTTCCAATCTTTATGCAATGCTAGGAGCACAGTGGCTTATGTGGTTAGGATGCTGTGTTGGAGGTTAGCAAGCTTGTGTTCAAGACCCAAGTGCTGCCATGGGGTGGGGTGAGCGCTTGTCTTTCACTTCAGCTCCTTCCAGGGTCATGAAAGGAGCCCCCAACTGGGCGTTCCCTGGACAACGGTGATGTCCTTTCAACCCAGAGTCACCTCAGTTGCATCGCATCTGGTTGCATCACATCGCACTTGTGTCTGAAGCACCTCGGTAGCATTGCGATGCATTGCGATGTGATGCAATGCTTCCTTGTAAAATCTTTCTTGGACAAAATATGAACTATAATGCTTCCTAAGTTATTTAGTCAATAGGTATTAAAAGCTAACTTAAACTCTTTTTGTATCATAACTGTATTCAAACATAATATTACTTTTTCTTCTCCTAGAACGCTTCATGGCAATGATATATCCAGTGTCCCTGAAGGGTCTTTTAATGATCTTGTGTCACTTTCCCACCTGTAAGTATTGTTATCCTCAAGAGATTATTAACTCTGTACAAATTATTTGCTATGGGAGATTTGTATAGCTACCTTATGCCACAATTATCCTTATATGTATTTTATTTAGATTTCTATTTTCCAAACAAATGTGAAAAAACCTTACCTTTTAAAACTTTAATCGTCAAAGAGAAAATAGATCATTTGTTAAGCCTACTTATATCAAAGTTAGACTCCAAAGCAATTTTTCAGCAAAATGTGAAAAACTATGTTAATCTATAGGGTGAAAAATGTATGGATGAATTATCAAGCAGGCTCATGGCTATTGGTTCTTAACTTGCCTACTAGTAGCACTATTGGTCCTTAACTTTCCAGAATATTTTTTCATCTATTTAAATAGGATTGATCTCCACTTCTTCACTCCAAGGAGAATAGAATTGACATTGCTAAAAAAAAAGGAAAAAAAAGACAAGTTAAAAGCCACGTAGGGACATACAATTGCTGGAAAGATACCATCACGATTATGCTTTATGAACCATGTTATATTATACTTTCTTCACACCCCATTTAGATTCCTATATTTCCCATTTGCTGTATCAGGGTATTTTGGGAAGAATGGCATTCTGAAGCAGTTTTCCAAATAACATAAGCCCAACAAGGAATTAATGTTACTCTATTTTATATATTCACTTTTAACCCCATAGTGATCAGGGAACAGGATTAAAAGATATGCTTAAATTTATAAACATTTCAACCTTTTTAAAACTTGTGTTCATTGCTCAAATAGCATCTATCTTTTAAATGAAGATATAAGTTATTTGTGCAGTACAATACTTACTAATGAACAACCTGATAGTGATTTATCAAAGGTCATGTTTAACAGCATTATTAAAGACAAAACATTTTCCTGTCATATTAAATTCTACTAAAAATAAACATAATTTGCCACATTCACTCAAATAAAGGCAAATTTAAATTTGAAATATGTTTGTGTTTACACATGTATCCCTCTTTACTAGTTGAATTGATAGCTACTGGTTAAAATAATAGCTTGTAAAAAAACCCATATTTATAAAATTAATTGACCCCAATCTGCACATCTGCCATTCTTTCTTAACACAAAAATGGTTGTGTATGGGACACAAAAATATCACACATATCTACTGTTAACTCTGCTTTTAGTTGAAACTGCAAAAAATAAAAATACACGATGGAGACACAATAAGAGGAAACATTGGGAAGGAGGAACAAAACAAAACAGCACTGGATAAAAACGAGATGAGAGACACAGGTAACAAGACAGGAAATGAATGGAAAGAGACCAGGCCAGTAACTACCGGTATTATTCAGTAGCAGTTCAGCCTACTTTCCAAAGATACATAGCCTTTGTAGCTGCAATTTTCCCCTCTTCCTCTTTGGTTTTTAACAGTTTAGTTTATTCTTATCAGCAAAAGTAACATCCAATCCTATTGTAAATAGGATTCTGAAGGAAATCCTGGTGAATAATCACACTGTTCCATTTGGGGGATTATGTAATGATTTTCATTATAATCATTACATTACCAGTTACCAGCTATAAATGTTCTTTAAGAAGCTGTTCTGCAAAGAAAGAATTGTCCAATAGAGAAGCCAGGAATAAAGACAAATAGTGTTACAAGGTTTTTTTTTTTCAATTTTTCACAAGGTTTCCGTAACCTCAGCTATAAGCCATTTGACAGTCATAAGCCATTTGGCAGTCATTCATCTTTCATTCGTTCTGCATCATTGCATACAGTAAATGTAAAAGTATATTTTCTTCTGAAATAATAAATTCTGGACCCATTAATTTTCTTGTCTGTCAACACCAATCACATATATTGTTTACAGAATAGATTGACAAATAAGGGTTGAAATTATGAATTTAGAATTGTTTATTTGACATACTAAGTACATATTATATCTCCTTATAAATGACTATTATTACCTAATTACAACCTACTTATCTTTGGAAATAGTATGTAGTATTTAATATGTCACATTTAGACTACATAAATTGGAACCTTACAAGATGGAAACAAATAGGCAAAGTGCCCTTAGTTCAAATGTATTTATTTATGTTTGAAAAACACTACAATCCTTTACATTGTGAGGTAAATCATGACTGATTGTCCATAAACCCAAATTCATCCTACCTTACCTTTCCTAATCTGTGTCCTTTAAATTATTAATTTTAAAATATCCTTCACATTTTATTTCCATATATAGTTATAACACTGAGCCCTGGCTGTACAATTAATATATTGTATTCAAACAAAAATAACTGTCTTCAAAATATAGCTGTCAATTTTCTTAATAAGGAGAAAGCTCCAACTCTACAGTGGAATTTTACAAACTTAGATAAACATGAATTATCGTATTCAATGTCTTCACACAGTCTGCCATTACAATTAGTACAATAAAAAGATGTGCATATCAATGTTGAACTAAATGTAGACACGCTTATTTGCAATTTAGGATTCAAAATCATTGTGCTCTCTGATGAAAGCTTTTGAATGTAGACAATGTTTGTAAACTTGTAATTATTATCAACTTCTAAATAGTGTGTAGTGGCCAGCGAGAACAATATTTTCATATTTTAAATGATATCTTAGACCTATTTTAAAAGCTTGCAACAAGTGCATGCATTAACTAAAGAGAATAATTGTGTTCAAGCAAAAATGGCTTGTCCTTCATAACTTTCTGTGTTATGGCTCATTTCCATTTCCTCTTCTCATTACTTTCTTACCTTAAATTTTTTACTTCAAATCTTTTACTTTAAAATCCATGGAAAAAGTCTATTTTCTTCTTTCCAATAACATCTTTGGGAAAAATCTGAGAAAATAAACATAATTTATTATAACATTTAAATCTACAAGTTTAAAACAAATGAAAGAGCAATCACACTGTAGATCAGTGGTGACAAAACTATGGCACGGGTGCCAGAGGTGACACTTGGAGCCCTCTCTGTGGGCACACGTGCCGTTGCCCCAGCCTTGCCTCCCCCCACGACCCCCTCCTCTCCAGCGGCCCCCCTGAAGGAGAGTCGCCCTCGAGCATGGCCCACACGGAGCAGCGCAGCCAAGGACATGGCAGCCAGGCAGCATAGACAAGACTCTGCCCTCACACCCCATCATGCAGTTGATGCTGCAGGGTGCAGGCAGAGGGTGTGGCTGCCATAGTGCTGCTGGGCTGCCTGAGCGATCTGCAGCGGGCCCTGGAGGCAGTGAGTGGTCCTGTGGGCAGGTGGGGCAGGGGATAGGGGGCAGAGCAGGGGCAGGGCAGGGGGGTGGAGCGGGGGCAGGGCCAGTTTTTGGGCACTCGGTCTGTAAAAGGTTCGCCATCACTGCTGTATATCAAAATAAAGCTGCTAGCAGTGGGAGGAAGAACATGAAATTAAAATGTGGAACTGATATCCATCTTTTTATTTGGTGCTTTGCCCTATTTTGGGGGAATGTTGGAAGACTAAATTATTAGTGCAACAGATTGCTTGACCCATTGGATTTTTTATTGGTCCAAAACAGCTGTTGAAACATATATGTACAGTAAACTAGAGATAATTTAAGACTAGAGGTTTGTATGTTGTATGTACATGCATGAGCTCATATATAGTCAATCCAAATAATTTTAGTCTGTGTGAAAATACAGACAAGATATAAACTTGGTCCCTTTAAGGAAACTTTGTTCTTCTTATTTAATTTTAATGTATGAACTCTTGCCAGTAATTCAACACATGAACTCTCAGCATGAGTTTGTCTAGGGCAGACTTGTTTAATCAGTCATGTCTGTGGTTTTATATCAACAATTTTAGTTTATAATTTTATCCATCAGTATTACATCTTCTTTTTTTCCTCAGTAAATCATTTTTATCGACTCCATTTCTAAAACATCTGTGAAGAAAAAGTCAACATCCAGAATTATCTTTTGATCATTCTTTCTGTAAATAATTTTCTAACTTTCTCTCTAGGGGCTGAATCCAACTAATATTTTCTTCTCCACAGGAACAATTTCTAAGCTTTAAGTAAAAACTTAATGTCAAAAGCAGTTTATGACCATTGAGATAATTGTCCTTAACCTTTAGATCATTATCCTAAAAAATTATTCTTGAACTTCAAGGGTATCTGAACTCTTAAACCTTATATTAAAATAGCACTTTTACTGAAAGATGGACTTAGAAAATACGTTCAAAAGCCATTGAAATGGACATTTATTAAATATTTCAACTTCTCTAAAAATTTCAACCATTACCTGTTGTTAGATTTTTTTCTAAAAAGTCAAAGGGGAACATAAGGATCATCATATTGAATATGCCAATCAATCCAATATAATACCTAGTATTTATTTATTTCATTATATTCCACCTTTCCTTTAAAATTCTTAAGAAGGGCTCATCCCTCATTTCATATTCACAACAACAAATTAATGAGTTAGTTGAGTTATCCAATTTCTCGCAGCCAAAGTCACCAATTAATTCTGTGATTGAGTCTGGATATAAATCTTGAGCTTAACCAGGTCCAGTTCAGTACAATCAAAATTATTCCACAATGGTTCTCAACAACTGCTGGAATAAACTCACCAATCTTAAGAAATTTATAAAGATAAGATTGACTCACTTGAGTCAAGTCTTACTGTATTAATGTTTTGGTTCCATACTCATTTATCTGGGAATAAACCCTACTGAATTTAATGAAACTTCTGATATGTTCCTGTTGTAAAGCTGAATTTCCATATTCTTTTGGGAGTAACATCCATTGTTCAGTGGTGTTTACTTCTCAGTGGAAGTATATAATATTGCATTGTAAATAAAATTATTTCTAGTCATTATATTAAACATCTGTTCTTCAAAAATATTAATATTTTAATAATTATGATATTAATATTATCAGAATTACATAAATCATTTCCTTATTCCATGATCATAGCTCAGGGAAATTATGATTGTCTACAAAATATGTTTGTATGAACTCCTAGTTTGCAAAAATAGCAGTGCATTAAATACTTAATATATGCTGTAAGAACAAAATGCAAGAATAAAGGGGCAAGCAGAAAGCCTTAGAAAGTTATTCAAACATAACGTAATGATAAGGATGGCATCTCCTCTACAGAGTGGATGCAACATGCTTTCTAAGTCAAAGCGATGGGTGACCAGCTAGATTGTTGAAACTATGGAGTAGAGAATAAATAAACAGAAATTGAGAAAAGATTAATGTGTATTCCGATGTGTAGTGATTTTCTCATTGTCCTTCCTTGCATGTTTGTAATCAGTGATCAGACTAACACACACAAATTTGTCTTTTCACCAAAGGGAGAAGAATCATTTGCTTTTTATGTAAGGTATAATGACTTCCAACCAGAAATTAAACGAGATACTGATTCAGAGTTGCTTGGAGCTTTTGAGAGGAAAAGGTTGATGAGTTCTTAAAGTTACAGGAATAGACAGGGGTTCTACATTACTTGCATTCAAATGATGTATAACATCTTTTATCAGGAGCTATACATTAGATCTTGTTCCAAGCTGCCTTGTGTGTGAAATTAGATTGAGGATTGCCAGAAAATCTTCTCTCCTTGTGTCTGATCTCCTTCTCATTCTATGGTTATGTACTTCCAACTTAATTACCTTTTTAGTTTTAGGAGATGACTGATCCTCTATATCGTACCCATGCATTAAGGCAGGGGTGTCAAACTGCTGGCCCGTGGGCCGGTTGCATCATGCGGAGGCCGCGCCCACCCCAGCTCCAGCAATGCAAAAAAAGTCACAATACGTCGCAACACGTCACGTGACACAGCGAGTTTGACACCCATGCATTAAGGTGAGGCTATGCATTGAAAGTCTTGCATTAACTATAGGTACAAAAAGAATGGAACTGTAAGTATTGGCAGTGCTGACAGATATCAGAGACCAACAACTGTATTAAGAACTTGGATTTGTAAATCAAGGAATTTTCTTCTAATTGTACCAGCATAAAGAAAGAAGTCATATAATTGGACAAATATCTTTTTCCCCCTCTCTTTTTTTAAAACCCAATTTAGGGCACTCGGTACAAATCCTTTACACTGTGACTGCAGCCTGCGCTGGCTTTCAGAGTGGGTAAAAGCAGGTTATAAAGAGCCCGGCATTGCACGGTGTAGTAGTCCAGATGACATGACAGACAGGCTTTTGCTAACTACACCAACTCAGCATTTCCAATGCAAAGGTGGGTATAATTCTTGGACTTCTGCACGAAGATAGGAGACCACCAGGAAATTCCTGTATAGACCTGTAGACTGTACTAGAAAAATATATTTTTTAAAAAATAAATCTTGCAAAAAGGCAATTGCAGCCCACTTTTCTACTACTTCTAGTTAAAAAAATATGGACACATTGGACACAGCTTAAGAAGGGCTTTACTTTTGAGTATAAAGAATTGAAATTTGAGGAAGATAAAGAATTAAAACTTGGTGATGAATGCATGGCATGATTCAGTCCTAATTTGCCCTCAAAATCTCTAAGCTAAAGAGAAACTGTATACTTCTCTTCTATCTAAGAACTCTATTTCCAGAAACATTACTGCAATATACACATGCTGCCTTCTTTTAATTTTGCATTTCCATCACCCTTAAATCCAGTATTTCCCTGTCCGTTAAGGGATTTTCTTTCCTTTCCAGTATTTGTGCTCTTCCATTTTCTGCCCCACTGATCATTATAGAGCCACTCATATGCCTGTCAAAGAGAATTATATTAAGGACTCAGGTGATCCGTAAGAAAAGATTTGGGTGTGAGGGGGAATGACAAACATATATCTTCAACTCAATTTTTTATTGAAATTTACATCAAACTTACATCAGAATTGTTGTTTTGAAAATTGTGGATTAAAAAAAATACATATCCAAAGCGAACAAAGTTTACCATGCAAGTTCAATGGCAGTCAGGTTTGAAATGTATGGGATTTATTTTCTCTGGTTGACTAATTTTTAGTTTATTTATCTATTACATATTCATTCATTTATTCATTACAGGAGCAAAAGGTGATATACATAGTTCCCATTTCCCCACTGGGAGATAAAATAACTTTATCTCATGACAGAGCTTCATTTTGACAGAATGCTCCAAAAGATAATACAGAGATGGCCTTGAAGGAAATGTGGCAATTCTTTGTAAAACATGAGCTTAACCCTTAGCATTTTCTTAAAACAGGAAAGTGTGGGGTTTCTAGTGTTTTGTGACCCAGGCTACCTCAAAGGGCTGACATTTGCTTGTTTGTTTGTTTTCATTCATTTTGCTTTATAAATGAATGAAGGGTGAAATGAATCCTTCTTAAGATAGTATTTTTTGCAAGTTAGCTTTGTTCCAGCATAGTGTTTGTGCCTGAAGTGCACTAACTAGGGTCACTGATACATAATACAGCAGCAGCATTTAAACTTTCAAAAGAAAATTTCCTAGTTCTTTTATGTATTTATATACACATATTTATGCAGCACCACAGACCAAAGACTCTGAGTGATAAGTATATTCTTGTATATAAGGCAATCTCTTGAAAATGTTTTAAATTGTTGTCAAATCTTTTCAGATGTATTCTTGTTTTATTGCAGGAGTTGTTGACATTGGTATTGTGTCCAAATGTAACCCTTGCCTATCTACTCCCTGTAAAAATAATGGGACTTGCAACAATGACCCCATGGATTTTTACCGATGCACTTGCCCATTTGGCTATAAGGTAAGGTAACTGATAACAGCTGGGTTTCAGCATTGAATGGAATCAAAACCAACATGGACAGGGAAGGAGATTGCGCTAAAGGGAAATGAGTATTGTTTGAGCTGCATGGTGAACAGTGATACTATACATGGTCCTGCATCTCAAACACTTTTTTTTCCTGAAGTGGTGTAGAGATTTTACAAAGCAGAACAAGTAGTTCCTATGCCTACGTACAGTATGTTGTATTTGTATAATGTGTGCCTAAAGACAGAATAAGATTGAGAAGTGGAATGCTTACAGATCATGAGGGCTGAAAAAGTAGGAGAAGAAAAAAACAATATCAAAACCCAGGAGCACAAATATAAGGAACATTCTATGTAGCCAAGTAGGCTTGCCTCAATCTCTGAAAAAATATCTCTACAACTGTGCTACACATTGAACAAAAATGACTTTTGACAAGTTCAGATGTGAACATTATGAAAAGAGCATTTTTTTTATATACTAAACTGTTCTCCACTAAAATGTCATGCTAATTTGGTAACAATGCCTTTCTTCCTTTTCACCAGTCAGCTTCAAACATGGCTGTTCATCTGGAATCTATTACCTTGATAAATTATCCCAAACCTGCCCATTCAGTATTGTTATTCCTTTTTTGATGTAGATGTGGAGTAAATTTTCCTGTGGAAGAGTTCACAGCTATAGCAATAGGCTGTGGGAACCTTAATCCAAGTATGATTGGGCAAGACTGAGTTTTATTGAATACTCAATGGCAAGGCAATTCCATCTTTTTCTGAAACATATAATTTGATCATCACAGCAGGTCTTCAGTCACATGCATTACTGCAAAGGAAATGATATGATTAAAACGAGAGAGATGACATAATTCAATAGGATATGCTGGATAAAGTAATAAAACCTTAAATAGGAATTCCAGTTGTAGAAAACAATTGATGCCAGCTCTAGATAGCAAATGCACTTGTACATGGGTATTCTTGCCCCACAGTAGCAATGATAAAAAAAGTTTTACCCATCCATTTACATTAAACCAACACGAACATACTTATTGAAAGCCTGTTTTAAGGGAAGCAAGGAAAAATATGGTTTAGACAATTCTCTTTGATTTTGATCTGGAAGCATTAGGAAATTGAGTGTAGAGACTTTGTGAAATGAAGAACACGCTCTTCCTCTGTTAAAATAAGTTGTGCCCTTGCTTATGTGTAAGTATTTAATTTATTAGAAGTGTTATAAACACGAAAATAAAAATGTATTCAAAAGTATACAATCCAAAGAAATTATAAAAGAGCATAGCCAAAGAGATATATGTAAGTTCTTCTAAATTCTAGAGAAACTCACTTTTTTCTTTTGTTTTTCCCCAGTGTCACCTCTCCAATAATTAACTGTTTTTCCAGAGATTATTTTTTTTAACTGTGTAAGAAAGGAATGCTTTGGGATCTAGGATTGGGGTATAACTTTTCTCAGTAAAGCTAACTTTGGAACATGAAGACAAAACCTTTCCTTTTTCAGTAGGAGGGGAAAATTTGTTGTTCCTGACTCTCCTTATTAGACTAAAGTATTGGTTTGACGTGGGCTTTTTAAATTTGGTTGGAGGAAAAAAAAACCTAAGGAAATAAAACCAGGGCTGTGCATGATTCAAAAATATTTGGAAGAAGTGCTTAAGAAGTTCCCTTTTTAAATTAATGTAAGTATTAAAGCTATCTTTCCCCCTGGCCACCATTTCCCCCTTCACTGAGAAGCCTGAAAAGTGGCTATTTTTGTGAATAGCAGAGTAGTGCTGTATTTGCATGAGTTCCAAATTACTTTTTCCAAATAATTTTCAAGTGTGCACAGAGCTACTAAAATATCTCCCCCATGTCCTCTCTTTATAATTTTTTTTTACTTTCCATCTCTCCTTTCAATCCCTTTCCTTATCTGTACATCCTCTCTTCAACTATAAATCATTCATTTTACTTTTTCCATGTATCTCAGAGAATATTGTTATGTTTGGGCTGGTATGAGAGAAACATGATCCTAGTCTGCACTCAGCAATGGTTGCTGACTAGGTAATTTTGGACCAGTCACTCTTTCTTAATCAAACCTTACTAAGCAAGTTATTGTTGTGGCAAAAATGGGAAGAGAGAAGTTATGCATGTTGCCTTGAGTTCTTGAACAAAAGGCAGGACATCAATGAGATAGATAGATAGATAGATAGATAGGTAGGTAGGTAGGTAGGTAGGTAGGTAGGTAGGTAGGTAGGTAGGTAGGTAGGTAGGTAGGTAGGTAGATAGATAGATAGATAGATAGATAGATAGATAGATAGATAGATAGATAGATAGATAGATAGATAGATAGATAGATAGATAGATAGATAGATAGATAGATGATAGATAGATAGATAGATAGATAGATAGATAGATAGATAGATAGATAGATAGATAGATAGATAGATAGATAGATAACCAACCTTCTTTAACCAGAATGCTCTTTAGATATGTGGGCTTTGACTTCCAGAGATCTTAGCAACGACAATGCTTATTGGAGAATTCATAAAGAATAGACCTTGGTTTTTATGCACTTTTATTGATTGTACAATAAGTATATAATTTAACACGGCTCTATGGCAAAGGAAGTAGAGAAAATATAGTAAGAAAGATGTAAATATGCTTGCATCTTTAGCAAAATTTTATATTGTATATACCATGGTATGCACAATCATCCTGAAGTAAAGCCAATTTAGCTAGAGGGGACCCTAACTTGGATAAAGTTGTATTGTAATATACATTAAATTGGTCAAGGAAAGAACTTCTGGAAATGAAGTTTTTGTCTGAATTGTAAAAACACGAACAACCGAAGCTCTTTGTCTGAATGGATTTGAATATTATAAAAGACAACGGGTTCATATTATTTAATATATTTATAGCAGTTTCATACCAAATTTAACCTGACTTCTGAATATGAGGATTGACTAGCAGAATGTCTTCCTGCGTTACATGCAAAGAATCAGTCTGTAGACAATACTTTCTACAAGCATAGCAGCTCATCATGAAATCTCTGTTAGAAAGAAATAATACTGTGCTTGGGAAAGAATGCTGATGATTTAACTCTACAATGGAAGTAAAAAATCAGTGCTGCAGGGTTTTATACAAACATACTTTCGAGGGGCGATTTTTCTACAAGAAGTTGCTTTGCTGAGTGGTTGATCAACTCAACAGCCTAAGACTCAATAAGTGGCTGTATGTCTCTTTTCATATAAATGTTTATTGTTTATATTGAATACTTTATGACATAATGTGAACTACATATTCAAAACCTGGATGATAAAATGTCTTTCACCGTGCAGTTCCAAGTACTCATGTATTTATTATCTTCTTGCTGTCTTGTGCTGCTTTAATAGAAAAAAAAATACTTTCCCTGAATAAGAATAGGTGATCTGATTCTGAAGGATACATTCTTTGTGCCTGTGAAGACCAGGTTAGGAAAACATAGTGAGCTTCCCTGTCAGTGATAGACAATGACTAATGCTTCCTGTTTAACTTTTACTGATAGGGTCGAGATTGCAGCACACCTATTAATGCTTGCATTCAGAATCCATGCCAGAATGGGGGAACCTGCCATCCTACTGACACAAATCAAGATGGATTCAGGTAACAAAAAACAAAACATGACTAAAACCAAAGCAATGGATAAAGCAACTTGTTTGCATTACTTAGATGCATAAAAGTCTACTGTACAAAATTATCCCAGAGAAATTAAACTAAAGCATGATCTAGATTGGCAAAGTAAATCATTGGCCCAATCGTTTTCCATGAGAAAGCTATACCTGTACTTACATCGTTCCTGTTTAAAACTGGTAGACTTAAAAGTATTTAACTTTGTCTTTACCAAGACTTTCCTCTGAAACACAGAATTATATTTGGGTCAGGGCTGAGTGGATTGTGTGTGTGTGCAGTCATCCCATTTTGATTCTAAAGATGTGCTCTGGAGCATATGGGAGTGTGATGTAGCAGTTCTTTACAAGAGCTTGTAAATCAATTTTTTTCAGGTGACAAAGCAATGGTTTCAAAGATTTGCAGGCAGGTACTGTATTAAACTGTTAATATATGCTTTATCTATTGCCATTTATCTTATTAAATTCCTACAAATTCCAAGTTCAAACCATTCACTGGTTCATTGTAGACTGTTTAAAGTGGAAGTTTTAGAATAGTTTGCCTCAAAGAATCCAATTGCATTCTAAAAGGGCTCAGAAATGTTTAGGCTGGTTCTGCAAATAATTCTATCAATTCCTGTGTGATACCTGGAGTAGGATGGCTGACAGGATTTCTCTAAACTGGCTTTTCAACATACTTCAAAGATGGTCCTATAATACAGAAGTCACCAACCTTTTGGGTACGAGGGACTGGTTATGTGGACAGAGGTTTTTCCGTAGAATGGAGGGGATGTGGTTTTGTGTGCTGCCTGCATCCTGCGGATGGGGCTTTGCTTGTTTGTGTGGACCGATTGCTGGCATGCCATCACCTGGTACTGGTCCATGGACCAGGGGTGGAGACCCCTGCTATAATACATGGCAGAACGGCAGGTCTGACTTGAATATGATAAGGCATAGCATAAAGCAGTGGTGGCGAACCTATGGCACGGGTGCCAGAGGCGGCACTCAGAGCTCTCCCTGTGGGCACACGCGCCGTCGCCCCATCCCTAGGCCTTCAGCTGGGTTTTATAAAACCTTTTCACTTTAGGCCTCCGCCACCATGTGCAAAAAAAAAAAAGGTTCAATCAATCAGTCAATTTCAACTTCTTGCGGGGGAAAAAAAGCCACGCCCAGCCAATGGGCCACACCCACCCAATGGGCCACACCCACCCGGCACCCGATGATGCATAAGTGGGTTTTGGGTTACAGTTTGGGCACTCGGTCTCTAAAACGTTCGCCATCACTGGCATAAAGTATGTGTGCAGGCTCATGCTATATTAATGTGTGCATCAAAGTGGCAGCTTTGTTTTCTGCTTTTATTGCACCAACAAGCTCAACACTTACTGAATTGTTTTAGATTTATTTATTTGTTTATTGAATAGATTTATAGGGATACTTAACTCACACATGATGATTCCAGGCAGCATACACCAGGGGTCCCCAACTCCCAGTCCATGGACCTGTACCAGACCGCGGCCAGTTAGGAACCAAACTGTACAGCTGGAGGCATGCGGCGAGTCTGCAGGGGTCTGGGCAGAGGCGTGAGTGTGGCAGGGCAGAAGCTGGCTTGCTCAGTGCAAAGGTTCTCCAGGGGCTGCACTTGCAATTGGCTTGCAACATCTGAGCTCAGCATCCTTCCTCTTTTTCCTCCTCTTGCTTCTTGTGGTCCCTCTTCTTCTGCCTCCTCCTCCTCCTCCTCTTCCTGCTTCCTCTCCTTCCTGCTACTTTTTTTTCTTCCTCCTCCTCTTCTTTCTCCTCCTTCCTCACTTTCCTCCTCTCCCCCTCTCGGCACCCCAGCTGGGCTCGTGCTCCCTTCACACAAGTCTCCAAGTTTACAAGGCAAGCGCGCGCCAGCCCAGCTTGCAACCGGGGGCTTCCCCAAAACCGCGTTGGAGGGAGATCCCCCCCCAAGGTATGTGTTTGTGAGGGTGCTTTCTCAGGGTGCAAATAGGGGCAAGGAGAAGCTACCTTTCACTTTAAGCACTGCGTCTTCAAAAGGGAATCTCTCTCGTTTGCACCTTTTCTAAGACCGCTGAGTTTTTTGCTGTCGTTTTGATGGTGCTCCAGGTGCTCCTCATGTTTTGGCAATTTCCTGCCTGCTTTTCGTGGTTTAATTTTGTGTGTGTTTCTGTGTGTGTGTTTGTGTGTTACGCTCCTTTCTTCATGCAGCTCTCGAGTTTGCAAGCCAAGCGTGCTCCTACCTGGCTTGCAATGGGGGAGGTAGGGGAGAAGTTACATTTCCCCTTAAGCCAGTGGTTCTCAACCTGTGGGTCGGGACCCCATTTGGGGTCGATCGACCATTTCATGGGGGTCACCAAGCAAGGCTGTCCGCCATTTTTTTGTCCGCCATTTTTTCCTCTTTTCCGGCGGGTGCCTTACCTCCCTTCGGCTGGGCCAGCTGGTGGTCGGCCTGCTCCGTCTCTGCTGCTTGCCAGCTATGCCTCAGCCGGCGCAGGGGGCAGAACCACGCATGCGCGGCGCTCCCGGGCAGGGAAAGTCCTCGACTTACGACCGGTTGGGTAGTCCTCGACTTACGACCGGTTTAGTCCTCGACTTACGACCGGTTTAGTCTTCAACGTACGACCAGTTTAGTCCTCGACTTACGACCGGTTGGGGTCGCGGCATTAAAAAGGTTGAGAACCACTGCCTTAAGCACTGTCTCCAAGGGAATCCCTCTCTCATCTGCACCTTTTCCAAGGCTGCTGGGCTTGCACAGTGCTCTCTCTCTTTCTCCCTCCCCCTCCCTCCCTCCCTCCCCTCTCTCTCTTTCTTTTTGAATGGTTTTCTCAGCACTTTCTCAACATGCTGGATCTTTGGTTTGTTTTGCTGGATGGCTGAGTTTAGGACTGTCTCTTTTCCTTCCCACTTTCTTAGAAGCAGAAAGTCACTGGTCTAATCTAATACAATATAATAATAATAGAAATAAAGTGCATTATTTATTTGTTTGTTTATTTAGAAAATTTAGAATAAATATAATGAATCATCCTGAAACCTCCCCCTCCCCCCCCCCGGTCCATGGGAAAATTGTCTTCCATGAAACCAGTCCTTGGTGCCAAAAAGGTTGGGGTCCTCTGGCACACACCATTAAAAATCAACAATTTAAAAACCCCAAACTGCAGACACATGCACGCGCACACACACACACTATGACAGTGACAAACACAATTTTACAAGCCACTTGATCAGCTGCAAATCAAACTGGGGTCCCCTATCCCACTGACAAAAACCATGTCTTGATGGCATTCCAGAAATGTAGCAAGGAGGGGATCAACCTTATTTCCAAGGGAATGATGTTCCAAAAGGAGGGAATCACTACAGAGAAGACCTTCTTCTAGATCCCATCAGGTGTATCTCCTTAATAGATGGGACCTATAACATACCCAGCCTTTCCACTCTGGTGGGCCAGGTAGATGTAACTGGGGACACACAATTTGTCCTATACCCGCGCCCCAAGCCATGCAGGGTTGTGAGCAGTCTAACTGGTACTGCTGTCTCCTCTTCCCAGAATTATTTTATAAAACCCTCAGAGGATTGTTATAACACTTTATGTGAGGTTTTTGAGGAAAATATCTCCGCTGACTAATCCTGATGCCACCTTTGATGAAAAGCTAACTATGGGTATATCTACTGACTCCTTGAACAATTAAACAGAATACACTTCGATATGTGATATCTCGGGATATGGACAGATTCTTGGAACAATATGCTCCACCACTGGATCTTTCTCAAAGGTGGCTCATAAGTTCTAGCCAGTAGAATATTAAAGATGCTAGAGTTCACATCTTCCATCTTTATCAGTCCCTTGAAGTAGACCAGACTAGGAAACTAAGGTTAAGAATGCCAATACTACATTTTTATGAAGTTATAGTAACAAAATCTTGCAAGTCTGAATGCACTTCCCTCTCCTCCATTATGATCTATCAGAAAACTAGAGAGGGTCAAGCCTGAGACACTTTCTGAAACCATTTCTCAACTTCAGATTTATTTTGTCTAACATTGTCTTAGTTCTGAGTCTCCCTCCTATTCCTCAAGGCTACTTTTACAGCTTGTTACAATCCCACTCTAAGAAATCGCAGAATGTATCCTTGTTTAAGGGAATCAGTTGTTAGTGCTCTTCCTAAGAAGCCGGTCTGGATCTCTCAAATGTGGGTGATTATAGGTCAGTCTATAACTCCCACAGTTAGATAGGTGGCTAATAGAATGGTGTTTTTCAACTGCAGGCAGACCTAGAGGAAGCAGAGTATTCTGACAATTTTAAAATGGCTTCAATTGGGCTACAGAATTGAGATTGCCTTGATTAAGTTGATGTATTATTTTTGTCTTGAGATTGACAGAGGGAGCACAGCCTGTTGGTTCTTTTTGACCTCTCAGCTTCCTTTGATAACATTGCCTCAGAAGAAAGGCATAGTTTTGTAATGGTTCCATTATTCAGTCTCCAACACTTCAATTATCTACAAGAAGCCATTGAAGGGAATCAGAAATTTTGGAGCTGTGTGCTATCAGTAAGCTGATGACATCAAGATTTATTTTTCAGGAACCGGTGTGGCTCCTCTGAATGCCTGTCTGCAAACAGTACAGGCTAAATGAGAGGAAAAATTGAAATTGAATCCAGGCAAGGCAAAGAAGCTTATTGTAAGGGTCTATAATTCAGGGGAGATGATAGATCAGCCATTCTGAATGGGATTTCGTCCTCCATGAAGAAGACTTTTGGTTACAGATATCTCTTTGGTTTCCTAGATTGAAGAAATGATTAGGAACAGCTTTAGTTGGTTTGCCAAATGTACCCTTTCTGGAATATAATGATCTTAAAACTATGGTTCATGAACTGATAACCTCCCAGGGTGACCACAGTAATGCATACTTGTGATCTAATAAAGAAACTTCAATTGATTGAGCTTAACTATTTTATTAGCTTTTTTAAAAAAAAACATTGCTTTGTATAGGGCTTTAACTGTTAAT